TCTCTCACTGATCGCCAGAGAGAGGAGATCAGCAACTCCTCATGCACTTAAGGAACTTAAGGAAGTTTTAGGCTGTGATGAGGTCTCCCTAGACTTCTCTAAGTTGAACAAGCCAAGTGACCTCAGCTGCTTCTCCTAAGTCTTACCTTTGAGACCTTATTGGTTGCCTTCCTCCAGACACAGTCTAATAGTTTGATGACCTTACACTGAGGTACCCAAAACTGCACCCAGAACTCAAGGTATGACTGCACGAGCGTAGAGTAGTGTAGAGTGGGACAATGACAATTCTTTCCTATTGCTGGACAGTGGAGATTATCTGCCATTTTTGCTGCTAACTATTGAACCACTACTACATTTTGGTATTTAAAACAACATTCAAGTTCACTGTAAAACTTGTCCTTTCATTCCCCAAAACACAACTAAGTGGAAAAAATGAAACTCAAATGTACCATGTAGGGCTGGCAATGGCAATAACCACAAATTTAAGTCTAATTTTCTTATTCACAAATTTAAGTATAAGAGCCAGGGAGATGAAAGTAACAGATGCCAAAACACATCTTATTACAAAAAACTCACTGGACACCTAGCAGCATTATGTTCCAGCTACTGAAGAAGCCAGCTCCTGATATTCCAAGTAATACCATATTTATAATTCAAGTATCCACAGATATTGTTTTATCACGTCAACAACAGGCCTTGAAAACTTTATAGAGGGAACATGGGAATGCTCACGCTTAGAAAGCATTTGGATCTGTAACAGAAAAGCCTACTGCATGGCAATGGTACAGTGAAAGCTCCTACCTGTACCATCAGTTAGCTGACACCATAAAATGCCATTTCTTAAAATCAGTACTGAATTTAGCTAATCAGATTTTCAAGCCATTTTATCTAATCATTTTTTTTCAAGCCACAGCTGCTTTTTATGCAATAATCAAAATCAACACTTGACCCAAATTTTATAACATACAATCAGTACACACATACCGATGCTTCCAGGCCATTATCACATACTCGCACCACTCCCCCACTGCATTAAGTGGGGAAAGGAGATGAGAGAGCACTGAAGTGTTGTCATTCATTAATTTATGATTAACTAGGGCGTGTGAATGCCTCAATCTACACAGATGGCCGAAGTGCCCCAGAACCATAAACACAGCAAAAGCTTCCTGCAGAGAAAGTCTGTTCCACCTGTCCGAGGTCCATAATGCATTTTGTTAGGAGACCCGACTAAAAATCCTCACCAAGGAAGGTGATATTAATGGACGCTCATTTCTCCACACTTTTTTACGTGGGGAAGGCCACACTGCCTGCTACAGCTACTAACTCTTGCGCTCCAGAGGGAAACCGATCAGATCTGACATGAAAGTGAATTTCTGCTGCTGTTCCCCTTCCAACAAAGAGGGAGCCAAGCAACTAAGAAAAAGCCCAAACATGAAAAGCTTATCGACTCTTTCAAGCCGCTTAGTGAACGTGAGGCGCAGCCCGCTATCAAAGTAAGACATTTTGGATAAACCCACAAGACTACCGCAGCACAGGGCGCGCGTGTGCTTCTGCACCGAGCACACACGCCACCGTTTCTTTCCTACTTTCAGCAGGAAGGGAATGCGGCCGGGTCGGGAGCGGTGGGATGTGAAAAATCGCAGACTCACTGAGACCTGGGGCTGCGCCGGCAGCGGCGAGAAGCCCGGGAGTGTCTGGGGCTGGGACCGCGCCGGGAGCGCTCCCGGCCCCGCGAGGGGTCACGGCTGCGGGCTGGGGTCGCGGTCCCGCCGCTTTCGCCACCGAAGCGGGACCCGCCTCGTGCCGGAGGAGCTCCGGGAGACGGCCTCTAAGCACGAACCACTGCTGCTCCAAACACGATTCCAGCTGAAATCCATCCTCGGTTCACCTGGACTCAGCGGCCGCCCGTCCCCGCCGCCTCTCCCCGGGGCTCCGGCGGATTCAAGCCATGTTTCGCGAGCGACGCCGGCTTGCCGCGGGAGACCCCGTGCCGGGCCGCCGGGAGCGTCTAGCACTGTCTCCCGGCTGCTGCAGCGGCTGCGGGACAGGCAGGGCTTCGTTCCAGGCCGAGGGCCATCGTCCCCCTGCGCCGCAGCGCTCGGGACAGGCCGGGGCTGCGGGTGAGCGGTGGCACGGGCAGGGGCTCTCCGTGCCTCCGCAGCGGGTGGGCAGCGCCCCGCGCCCCCCGGGCCGCTCACCTGCTGCTGGATCTTCCCATCCTCGGTGACCACCCAGTGAGTAGTAGCAGCGGCGGGCCGAGTCCCCGAGGCCAGCAGCGAGCACAGGCCCAGGGCCCAGCCAGAGAAGACCCACGCCCGCCCCAGCCCACCCCGCCCGGACGCCCCAGCCGCCGCCATCTTCCCCAATCCCGGCCTGCTCGCACCCCCCGGAACCGGAACGGCCGCCGCCGCCATTTTGGGAGCGGGCGGTGCCTCGCGCTGCGGGGCGGGGCGGCCGGGCCCGGCGTGGCCCCGGGGCGTCCTTTCAGGCCGCGCCAGGAGCCCCGGCCCGAGCGCTCTCCTGACCCCACGGCAGCACCGGCGCAGCCCCTGGGCGGAGGCACAGGAGCGGAGGCGCGGCGGGGACTCCGCGAAGCGACTTCTCCCTCGCGGGGAGCCGGGTCTGGCCAGCGGGGCCTTCCCGGAGCTGTGGCAGCCGCGGGTAACGGCGGAGTCGCCGCCCAGAGCTCCAGGCCAGCGTTAAGTGCCAACAAGCGGCGTGTGGCGCCGCGCTGAACGCTGTAATTTAAAGGATGTAATTTCTGTCTAGTGCACACTCGGACATTCGCCACGGCAGCTCGAGGAAGCGACTGTATGCCCATCGCAAACCGAACCGTACCTGCAGCTGTCCACAGGTTTTTATCCACAGCCCCCGGAGGAGCTGGTTGAAGGGAGCTCTGAAAGACACATCGCTCCTTTTCCCTTCTAATGCTTTTCAGTTACACAGAAACATCTGAACTTTTCCTTTCCCATTGCAATTAAGAGTAAATACCAACCCAGGAGCGAGAGCCTGTTTCCCAGTCCTGAGTGAGATCTAAAAGCTGCCACATTCAAATTTCGTTCTGTTCGACCGAAAGGTCTGTGTTACCAGTCCTACTTCTTGGGGACACCAAACTTCCTGGAGCCTGTTAAAACAGTAAAATTCACCGGTAACTCAAAATCATTAAGTGGAAAGAAGTTTCCAGATGGTGTCAGTGGTTAAACCAATGCAAGGGATTCAGTTTCTATCAGGCTAGAGAAAATATCCACACAAGTATGACAGTTCCTTACCACTGCCAGAGTTTACACATCAGGCATATTACAGATTCCACAAAAAACCCCAGGCTGCCACTCCAAGTCAGTCTCGCTCTATCATAAGATACCACACTGTCAACATCTAGGAGGTTGCATAAGACAATGACTGACTCCTTTTCACCTGGTTCCAAATAAAATGTATGACATGCAGCTTTTGCTGAATATTTAAATTCCTAGGAAAACCTCGCATTTAAAGGTGAATTACTTGAAAGTTGAAACAGCTAACACAGTCTTGCTCCAATATATTCCTTAATGGCAAAAAGCTTTAGACATCTATAGCAATCTAAGGAGTAAGGGAACTACGACCAAAAGGTACCACAGAACCCTTTTACTAAGCCAACACAAAATGTTGCAGAGTAACTGTGAAACAATGAGCCAAACAAAATTACAAAATGAATTTATTCCAAAGCTGTAAGGGAACATTTACAATTCAACAAGATGGTAAAAAGGTGTTTCCACAAGAACTCACTGCATTAAAATTAGATGTGAAACTGGGGAAAAATAATCTAACTACTGAGGCCACAAGAACTTTGCACATCACTTCTGAAATACAGGACTCATGTAAAGAAAACTCACTCAAAATTCAGTGAGAAAATAAGCTGCTAGCACCTAGCTACTAGTCTAAATACAAGCTATGTTTAGGCTTTGAGATTACATTTTTAAATCCCCTCAAAACACCAATTATAGCCACAAGTGCAAAATGTCTTTTTTTTTCCTCCTTTTTTCCTCCAATGGAAGCTTATTACACATCTAGTGCCTATTTTCAGAGTGACATTTTGGTCTCACAAATTTGTCCTTGAAAGCTTTTTGCCAAGTTTTATGGTTTTTGTGACAAATCAAAGTTGAGCAGCTGGCAGGTAATTAGAAATGCAGTCAGCTCACATGTCCTGGAATGTCCAAAGTTTGCTGCCTAGTGTTCCAGAGTTAAGCAAAAACAGATTTCTAATTTAGCATTAAGAATGTCTCTCACTTTGACATAATTTTGGTGTTTTGGCCATCTGACTGCAGTGATAAATATCAGTGTTAACGAAAACACCCGAGTCAGATTCACAAGCAAATACAAATAGAACCAGAGTGGGGAGACATCACCTTCTGTAGATATCAAGTGGCTGAACAACAACAAAAAAAAGGCAGGATAAGAAGTATTATTTATTCTTCTAAAGCCTAAGGTATTTTACACCAACATGCTCTGGAACACTTAATTAAAATTCTTTTCCTCTGTCTCAACCTCTTTTTACTATATGCTAATTTCTTTACAATGTTGAATGACCTGAGAATTAAAAACTTTGAGTGGTGAAAATTAAAAAAAAAAAGCTTTGTGCTTTTACTTTGTATTTTCTGGGTGTACACCAGTAAATAAGAATCCCAAGTTCCTTTGGAAAAAAAATAGCATGGAATTTTTAACACTTCCACCTGAATTGAACTACATAGCTGGAATTTTTCAGTGTTACCCAAAATACAATTTTATTTATATATTTTTAAATGCAACTATGGGTTAAAAAAACAACAAAAAAAACCCCAAACAAAAAATTAACACACACACACACAAAAAAATAAAATCACCAAACAAGAAAAAAACCCAATCAACCAACCCCCACCCTCCAGTGCCAACTAATCCAGAAATCTGCAAAACACAGAAAAGAGCCAGGTACTGCTATGGTCCAGCTCCAGCCTATGAAGCTTAATCACTGCATCAGTCTTTACCCATTCCTGGAATAATTCTAGTCGTTTATTGTTTTGTTTTTTCGCTGTTCATTTACTGAGCTTTCACAGCATAACTATAAGCACATATTCATATTAAACATTAAAAATTAATTTGCAAAACATCACTTTTGTATTACAATGCACGGAGAAGAGTAAGATGTGCAAACCAAAAAACGCCACTTTCTCCACATCTCTAAGTAAGAGGACTGCATCATGCTACAAGCAAAACAGATTTCTAGCCACATTGCAAACTTTAAAAAACCAGCATGTATCTCATTCAATTTAATTAAAAATGCAAATCAAAGCAAATTTAACAGTGGTACTCTTCTCCACATATTGCAAAATACGGTTACAAATGAGGAAAGGATTACTTCAGCTGCTAAGCTAATCTGACACGTATCTCTGTTGTCATGCCTTTCCTGTCCATTACTTAATACATAAACTCAATTATACAGTTTCAGTTACGCAGTAGCTGACTTTTAGGTTAATATACAAACTGTCAAGATGCAGCTTTTGATGAAACATCTACGCTCTTTTCCAATTTTGAATCCTGAAGACACTTCAAAATTAAGAACCCAAAACTGCTGACTGTAAGCATCCAAAAATACAGCTGTAGTTTCACTATGGACAAGTTGTAGTCCGTTAGAAAAGTAGATCATACATACAAAGGTATAAAGAACATTTAAATCAGTCTTAGTGGAAGGCAGTCCTTGAAGAAAACAATGCTCCAAGCAAACATTTGCTGAGTAGCACTCTCACTTCAGCCCTTCAGGGGCATGGAAGATTTAGCAGTCTTCTCAGTAGATTCTTCCTCGGCTACGATTGCCACGTCCTCCCCAGCCTCTTCCTCGTCCACCCCGGAAACCACCTCTTTGCTCTGAAATAAGAGTTGAAACTTTTCATGCAGGTTTTATGCTGAACACAGATTAAAACAGAATAGCAATATCTGGAGGTATTAGTTTTATATATCTGACAGTGCTTTGTATCAGTTTTTCAGCCTCTGAGCGTGGGTGACAATTTGTCATAGCAGCCTCTTTACTTGCCAGAAGTAGGATAATGGACCTACAGGAAGACAGGAATGGGCTGCTGCCATTGCTGGGCCTACTCATCCAGTCTGCAACTGCTCTTGTGCTTCACCCAAAAATACAACTCACAGAGAGACAGAATCAGTGTGACTGGGAGCACGAGGACATAACTGTGGATGCACAGTGAACCTGGCAATTCCCAGAACTTCTGGATCAGGTCTGCAACATCAGCAGTGGCTGTAATAGGAATGCAGCACAGGTCCAGTCGTATGACAGGAGGTGACCCAGCTCTGCTATTTGCAGCAACTGGCCTGTCCAATGGGAAATTGGTGCAAGTGCTGTGTGTCATAACAGAGAACACAACAGTTCAATTACTAACTCTACTAAAAGTAACTTGCAAATGACATTGTTTATAGGCTGGTAACACTCAAACACTGCAATAGATCAACAGCTAGGAAAAGACCACTATACACAAAAATTTGTGACAGTACAATTTGATCTTCCAAGAATGTGGTATTTGTTCCCCCACCCTGAGATACAAGTGTCACTAGTCAAAGTTTTTCCAAACTGCCTAACTTACCGTAAGAAAAACTACCCAGATTACTGCTGTATTTTCCACTAGGAGGATTATATATTTGCCTGGCATCCCTTTTTGGTCCTGCTGAAGCTTTCTTTGGGGGTGAACTTGAGGTTGTATCTTCACTTGCTCTTTTTTGACTGATAGAAGAAAACAAAAACATGTCATTACACCCTTGTGGTGACACGCACAGGAATAGTAGTTCAGCCGCAAGGATTAACCACTGGAAGCCAGCAGCAGCTAATGAAGATGCCCTGAATAATAATACCTCAGAAGAGGAAGCAGGCTAGTCTCCAGTTGATTCAGTCTACTGTATCTCTAAGCAAGACTAAGATAATATTTCCACAGCCACAAGATGTGAAACTTTCATCTCATGTGCTGTGTATATATAATATACACAGCTTGGAAGTTAATTTTTACTGTTTACAAAACAAACACCACTTTTTTTTTAAATTAAGAACTCTTACCTTGCATCTGCCTTCTGTACTGGTTTCCAGGACAGTGTAATTGTACTTTTGTAAGACGGAGGAATGTGGAAGAGATCCTATGAAGGCAAAATTGGACAATTTACAGTTAAATTCATGTTGATTGCACTTCAAAACTTTATTCTGTAGTCTCAGTTAAGTAGCTAACCATTAATTTCCAACAATTTTAAATCCTTTTTGAAGTCCCATGGCACAGGGAGAAGGCATGTGCTTACTGCCTTACTAGGAAATTCAAATACGATTTGAATTAACAAAATAGTGTCTTGTACTGACCAAATATAGAATCATATAATAGTTTGGGTTGGAAGGGGCCTTTAAATACCATCTAGTTCAACCACCCTGCAATAAGTAGGGACATCTTCCACTAGATCAGGTTGCTCAGGCCCCCATCCAATCCAACCTTAAATGTTTCAAGGAATGGGGCATCTATAGAGAAGCACAAGCTTTCTCTCCCTCCCAATGTGTAGTGTGATAGACCAATTTAGGGCCAAGATGACCGTCCTGATCGTTACAGGAAACACCTCAGGAAACACCTCAGCACCTGGAGAGGGCATTCCCAGAAACCCACTGTCAGATGATAGTGGGTTTCACAAAAAGGAACAAAGAGACCCCGATGGCTTCCTGAAAGTCCTCAACAAAATGGGGAGACTTCCCAGCAACACACTGATAGGATTAACAAAGGATGGAGTGTTATGGAAATAGCATGGCCTTTCTCTGCAACATCCTACTGGAACACAGGAAGCTGACCCCTAGGCCTATGTCGTCTGTCTATCACCCCCAAAATTAGTATTGACTATTGTCACTCAAACTGCCTAAGAAAAAAAAGTATAAAAAGAGATCGGACATGAGCAAAATCAGGGAGAAATTCCATCATCTCTGCGGGGGTAACTAACGAGCTGCCCTGTCTCCTTCCACTCCCTTGGACATTGTAGGGGTAAGCAACCATTTACTCTGCTTTCTTTACCTTGACCTTGCTTTATACCTTATAGATTACCCTCTTTCACCTTTACCCCATAGATAGCTTATTTCCTAATTGTACTTTGCTTTATAGATACTAATTTTACCTTGTAACTTACCAGGTATATATCTTACTTTTTTTTTTGTCCTATACTGTACTTTATTGCCAACTCATTCATGGTTTCCTTTAAGGTGTGCATTTCCTTATCTTAGTGAGTTAAAATGTGTGTTAGTGGGAAGTGGCTATATTTTTTCTTTTTTGCTTTATGTTAACCAGTGTGTTTAGATTTTGTTCTAGGCTTTGTAAACTGGTCTGTCATGGAGGGGGGTTGCTTGAGTTTTGTACTAAGGCTTAGGTAGTTGTGTTGTTTTGTAGAGCGTGCTTCTGGTTTTTGGGTTTTTTATTAGTTAAGTGCAATCGTGCAGTTAAACATTATCACCAGCAACGCCAACCCTGCAGCAGTTTGTCACATACTGGCATTAATAAAAGTTATTTTGTGAGCTGCTAGTTAGTCCAGTTTGTTTCTGGTGCTGGCAGCCTCGTAACCTGTAGGAGAACTTTGCTGAGAAGGTTCTCCTTTGCTATTAAGAGCTGTCCCCGTATCAGGGTATCAAAAGTCCTGTCCACTGCAGTGAATCTGTCTAGCGAAGGGTCTCTTTAGGTGAAGTGTGGACAGACTGTTTTGGGCCTTAAAAGGCTTTGGTATTCTGGGGACACTGATAGCCAATAAAAAATATATTAATACAGGTGGGACAAGAAATCTCTGCATTTCTTCCCCTTTTCACGTGACACTATGAACACCAAGCATCTTAAAATGAACTACAATGGCTCCTGCAGGGAGACATCTGATATCCCTACAATATCCCTATGATGGTACAAGATAGGCTTTGCAATACCATGGGCAAAGTTTTTGGTTTATTGTGTAAGAGTGAAGAAATAGAGAAAAAGGTGGTTAGAAGAAATCAGAATGGTTTCATGGGCTCCAGACAGAAGTCTCTTTCTGCAGCCCATCTCTTCTAGACTCTTTGGAGACAAAAGTTTTGTATAGTACCTGCTTTGCCTCCTCCCTGCTTTACATATCCTTGCATCTGTTTAAACTATTCCTTACCCCTCAATGCCACTGCAGGAAAGGGAAATTACAAGAAAAAAGGCTCAGCCAGAATCCAGAGACCCCTAAAGCAAGGTGGTCTTATTCTGGGGGCAACCAGTGCTGCAAAAAAGGACCAAGAGCAGCAGTAGCAGCAAAAGCTAAGTTGCTTGCATAGTCAGCAAGATCCACCTCTCTTCAGAAACAGTAAAGCATGGCAACTCTGAGCTAGCTAACACCAACTAACACAATACACAAAGTAGCACAATACAACTTGGTTCAAATCTATTCCTTTCCGCTGCATAGGTTACTCTGCTGTGAGAATTTACTCCTTCATGATGTGAGGACTTACCTTGATTAAAACATTAATGTTATTGGTTATTTTCAAGGCAACCACTTTAATCTTGTTCTGTAAAAAAAACCAAAACATCACTGAACACCTATTCTAGTAGTTTTACGCCAACTGCATTTGATGATGTTACATTAAACTGGCTGCTCTTCCTAGTGAATTGTTATAGCAATAGTAACAGTGAAAGGTGTATACACTTCTGAGTTTTCATCACAACTACTCTTAGGCTTCTTGCAGTTTTACACTAACTAGTTGCTTTTATATTCCAGTATACTTCTCACTGGTGTTTTTTCGCACAACATATGAAAATTTCCCCTTCAAACCAGCACAGAGCACAACTAACCCAATTATATATGTGGATACAGAGAGTAGTTAGCAGTAGAAACTAAAAGAGCATCTTTGCTGGCAAAATGCAGCAACAAGTAAGATGCATTTGCAATAATGTTAGCAGTATTATTCCCTTAATCTATTTGCATACTTACAACTGACTGCAGCCTATCAATATGTGCCAATCGTTATTTCAGTAGGCTCAATCAGAAAAATCAGAATTCCCAAACAATACTTACCTCCTCTGTTTTCAAGGCTTCTCCTGTTTTTCCTTGAAGTGCCAGACGAAGCTGCCGAATATAAACCTGCAACCCTCGAGCAAAATATTGTAGCCTAAAAAATTCAAAGCAATCTGTTAGTAAAATTTACATAGTCCCATAAAAATAAAAGCATAGGCAAAGGGAAACTGTAATTTTTTTATTTCTTTTTTTTTTCACTTTAGGAAAAATGCTCAAAATAAGTCATCCATCAATCTGATTTGTGCTTCTTTAGCATCCAGACAATAATTCACACTTTCGTAGTCACAGAATCATCAAGGTTGGAAGAGACCTTGAAGATCATGTAGTCCAACCGTCAACCCAGCACTACTGTAATCACCCCTAAACCATATATCCAAGTGCCACATTGAGACGCCTCTCGAACGCTTCTAGAGACAGTGACTCCACCACCTCTCTGGGCAACTTATTCCAGTGCCTGATCACCTTTTTTTTTTTCTAATATCTAATCTGAACCTCTCCTGGTGCAACATAAGTCCATTTCCTCTCGCCCTTTCATTTGAGGCATGCCAGGAGAGACTAACCCCCACCTCACTACAACCTCCTTTCAGGTAGTTAGGGCGGGCAATGAGGTTCCCCCCGAGCCTCGTCTCCAGACAAAACACCCCCAGCTCCTTAAGCTGCTCCTCTTACAATTTCTGCTTCAGACCCTTCATCAGCTTTGTTGTCCTTCTCTGGACATGCTCCAGCACCTCCATGTCCTTTTTGAAGAGAGAAGCCCAAAACTGAACAGAGTACTCAAGGTGTGGCCTCACCAGTACTGAGTACAGGTGGACTTCCCAAATCCTGCTGGCCACACTATTCTTGTTACAGCCTAAGATGCCATTGGTCTCTTTGGCCACCTGGGCACACTGCTGGCTCATGTTCGGCTGCTGTCAGCCAGCACCCCCAAGTCCCTTTCTGCTGAGCAGCTTTCAAGCCACTCCTCCCCCAGCATTGCCTGGGGTTGCTGTGGCCCAAGTGCAGGACCTGGCACTTTGCCTTACTGAATCTCATGCAGTTGTCCTCAGCTCATCAATCCAGTCTGTCCAGATCCCTCTGCAGAGCCTGCCTATCCTCCAGCAGATCAACATTTCCCCCCAAGGTAGTGTCGCCCATGAACTTACTGAGGATGCAGTCAAAACTCCTCTGCCAAATCACTGGAAAGATGTTAAACAGGACAGGTCCCAGTACTGAGCCCTGGGGAACTCCACTGACATTTTCTAATACACACTTTCTAACAGAACGCTAACAGTTGCCTCTAAATGATTACCTGATTTTAAAGTCTTTCAATTTCTCTGCATTCAGCTTGGCTGTGAGGAAGTCTGGAAGCTTACGACCTAGCTGATGGAAACTATACAATAAACACTCCACATGACTGAATTGCAACTTGGGCTCTTCGTTGCCAGCATTTTCCCCGTTCTCTGCTTCCTCTGGAGGAAGGGGCATATACTCCTAAAGAACAGAAAGGAAAAACAAATGCATGAGACACATTTATACAGACTGACAGCTCTTTTGCAGTGTTTGAACTGGATGGTGTATTTATGCTGATAATTTAAGAAGAATCCCCCATCTCTATACCAGTGTGATGAACTGCTGAATGAAGTCCTAGTGCAGGTGGTTTGCTTACACTTATGTGACTTGATACCTCAGACTCAGCGGAAATACTACTGTGGCACTGCTACCACAGGAAGCAACAATGCTTTTGAAATAGTGCTGAACTTGCTTAAAACTGTCAGTGCAGTTACAGTCTTTACTGAGATCAACATGAGTCTCTCATGACTACAAAACTTAAAAAGAAGAAACCCACATAAATCTACTGGATTAAAAACATTATTCAGGTAACAGCTCTGTGTATCTACAAAGGCTTTACATTGCAAAATGATGTTTGACCTTCTACCATGGATAGAGCTACCTCTGAAACAGCCACTTTAGAAAAAGGATAAAGAGATGAATACATAAAAATAACTATTTTGATGAAAACTTAAAAAAATTAAGTGTTTTACATGAATAAGAAATGAATTAGTCTTACCAGTAGTTTGTCAAACAGCTTCTTCAAATTTGATTCAAGCTTTTCCATATCACCACAAAAAGAACTCATTTCAGCAAGAAGCTTTAAAACCTACATGTAAGAAGAGCAGGGTTTTTGTTTGCTAACTGAAAAGTACATAGGCTTAACTTTCAACCTAAAATCAATTATCACATCACTATGGCTGGTACAGTAGAGGTCAGCTATTACAATTAAACCCCTCCCAAACATCAGGAAGGAATAAAAGGAAGAACATGCCTAATCTGTTTTTCATGTCCTCAAACAGAAATACAGGTTTGTGTGTCTAATCCCAACAAGCATTAGTCAACAAGTAAACAAAACTTCATCTCCCACACCTGCAGCACAGCTCACCTTCAGTGAGAGCCACAGAGATCTAACTGAAGCTGTAGCACTGATTAATGTAAGCAAAATTACAGACATTAAGCCACTCCCTTAGGAGATTAAATTAGCATGAGCTGTGCAACCATCATTTTGGTAAATGCTATGTGCTTAAAAAAAATTGATAGTAATATAAAAATGATTACACCGATCTTCTTATTGTACCTTGCCTCAAAAGCATAGGACAAATGACACATGCTTTAAAAGGCAATGCTCAGTCATACCTGAATAGCACAAACTTTTTTCCTAGTGTAGCTACTTTTTCTATAAGCCAAGAAATGAAAACTATTCAAGAAAGGAGTTTTCAATTTTAAAAATAGATGTCTTCATCTAACGTGCTGATTTTTTATTATTTATTAATCCTGAAAGACATTTTAGCTTTGGCTTACCTCTAATTGGATATCAAGACCCTCCACTGAAGTAGTCAAAGAACTGAGGTTTGGCAGAACATGCTCACAGAAGTAAGTAACAAATTTTGTGGAATGAACATTTTTCTGAAAAAAACCCAAACAAACCACTGCATATTATTCATGCTACTCTGAGTTTGAAGGACCTAAATATTTTTCCCCCATCTCTCTGCCACCCTTTTAAATGCCTACCACACAGCTATACTTTAAAGCTTTATTAAACTTCCCTCTAACTGCTAAAACACAGACCCCCTTGCACATAGCTTAAACTCAGAGGCTGTCTGCAACAGCAGCTGAAAAGACTGCTTGCAACCCAAGAATAGGCTTTTAAGTACTGCAATTGCCTGGCACTAAATTTGAAATAAACTCATACAACCTAATGTGAGAATCTTGTCATAATTCAGTGTAACATCCTAAATTTGAAAAAAGAAGAGAGTAACACAAAAATATTTTTGTATTTGGAGGCTTTAAGGATGTTTTCCAGCATTTGAATACAGCAGAAGTTGAAGGTGGAGAAGTACTGATATGTGGTCATTCTAACATAATCGTTCAGAACACCAAAGACAAGTCACAGCCATTAACTTTCCACAATACTCCTCATGCAAAACAAACAAATACATACTGAGAAGAGTGGCACTGCCTGCCGAGTACACTGCTGAAGTCTGTCCACACAGTCTGGATCAGATGGATTGAATGTTTGTTCCAGGTCAGCTTGTTCGGCTACCAGCTCCACTAGCTGTTGCCTCCCACTTACTGTCTGTAAGCTTTTTAATCCAGACAATATTTTCATGAACAGATTAAATTCCTCGCCTGTCACATCTTCCAGAACCTTAGCAGAAAAACAGAAAACACAGTTCTATGGTGGTAATTTGCAAACCTACAAGTCAAACCAACAAGGTGATCAGTATCTAGAGCACATGACCTGTAAAGAGAACCTAAAGCAACTGGGCTTTTCCAGTGTAAAGTGAGGGAGCTGTATGTGGGTGTGGCAAACTAACACTAAACCTTTAATACTTCAGAGCAAGTCACCAAAGGTAGGAGTCAGGTTCTTTGCTGAGGTGGACACAGTGAAAATGAGACAATGATACAAAACTAAAATGGAAGGTTCCAACTGGATAAAGGGAAAAAAATAAATTTTCTTGAGGACAATTAAACACTGAAGCTGGTTGCCCAGAGAGTATAGGAACTTTCATAGAATCATAGAATCGGCTGGGTTGGAAGGGAACTCCAAGATCATCAAGTCCAACCCCTGATCCACTACCGCCGCAGCTATTAGACCATGGCACTAAGTGCCACATCCAGTCTCTTTTTAAAAATCTCTAGGGATGGAGAATCCACTACTTCCCTGGGCAGCCCATTCCAATGTCTGACCACCCTCTCTGTAAAGAAATTCTTTCTAATATCTAACCTAAACTTCCCCTGGCACAGCTTAAGACCATGCTCTCTTGTCTTACTGATAGTTGCCTGGGAAAAGAGACCAACCCCCACCTGGCTACAACCTCCTTTCAGGGAGTTGTAGAGAGTGATGAGGTCTCCCCTGAGCCTCCTCTTCTCCAGGCTGGACAGCCCCAGCTCCCTCAGCCTCTCCTCATAGGACTTGTGCTTGAGTCCCTTCACCAGCCTCGTTCCTGGACCTCCTCTGGACCTGCTCCAGCAACTCAATATCCTTCCTGAACTGAGGGGCCCAGAACTGGACACAGTACTTGAGGTGTGGCCTCACTAGCGCTGAGTCCAGGGGAAGAATCACTTCCTTAGAGATTTTCAAAACCCAACTGGAAAAGCACCTAGAAGTCTGATCTGAATTCAGCTGAGCATAATTCAGCTGACCATAATTCATTGAGCTGATCAGTCTCCTAAGGACCTTTTCCAACGTGAATGATTCTGTGATTCTAATAAAAGTTGCTCTTACAAAATGAGAAGAGCCTAGCATGGTTTTAAGATTCCCACAAAAAACTGTTGCAAATTTCGGAGTGTAACAGAATAGGGTAAGTACAAGATCACATTTTTACAATGCTCAGCTATACATGTGGTTTAAATGAACTCCAAAGCAACACTAATGATAAGGGATGGTTTCATAATACTTAAGTTTGTACTGAAATAAGACAGTCACCTTCTTTGATTCAGTCAATATGAACTCTTCCACCTCCTTTGTCATCACCTCCTCAGGCAATGTTTTCAGTTTTGTAGAAAGGAACTTAATGGCTCTTTCTCTCACAATATCCTCTCCCTGAAGAATTTGACTGAATAAGCCTCCCAAAGTTCCTGAATGGAGAATAAATCAGGTAATGAGAATTATTTTAAAAGCTATGAGCTCAAAATTCTATGCAGAAGAAAGAAGTTCCCTCCTTTAAGACTCCATGACATGTTTTAAAATAACTGCTATACTAACTTTTCAGAAAAACCACAATTTTCCTGTATCTTGACAGAATCCTCACTCTTTCACTGGTCTGTATAATTCAGACCATGACTATTAAGTTCAGTATTGTTTGCAAAACCAAACAGTTACGTGTGTGTCTCAGTTTTGCATTGTACTAAGATAAAAAATTGAGTCCTGTTCTCATCCTACTAGAGACTGGGAAGTATTAATAAAAGACATACACAGAAAAATGTGTCCTTTACCTTTAGCATCCATCTTAAATATACTGAGCAAAGCATTGTTCACCAAATTGAATTCTGCAGAATCATCTGGAGAGAGAAAAAAATCTGATATGCATATACTTGAAATGAAAAGGTAAGAGCAAAAAAATAAAGATCACTGATGTGTAATTACACAATAAGTATTCCATCCTCAGCATTTAGTGATAAACATAACCTGTATTTTTAACAGCTACTAGACTGAGGAAGTTGAAAGCCACGATTATGAAAGATGGAAGCAAAACACAAAGCTATTTGCCACTTTAGCCTCCCTGCCAAAACTTTAACATTATAAACTTAATAGGACTGAAAACCTGAAGGGAAGTTACTAATCAATACACTGAGTTATGTTAAGGAACAGTTGTATTAACAAGCTGACCTTCACTAAATTAACGTCAAATAAAGTAATTTCTTTTTTAACTCCTCTAGGTGGCAGAAACAATTTTCCTCCTGAACTAAATGGAGAAATGCCTAAGTCTCAAAAAACCCAAACCAACCCAACATTTATCTTCTGAGAATCCTAGAGACTTAACCAAGCATTTTTAATAGAAGTTTAAACACCTAAATTTAGCACTCTATAACTAATTGGATTAAAAGTGTATTAAAATCTGATTTTGCACTCCAGAAATATTTATTTTGCATCAAAAATGCACTCTATGAAAGAAAACACCTTTAGGATTTTTCAAGTTCCAGAACCTGGACTGAAATCCAGCAACTCTTTTCTCAGAAGGCAATTTGCTGCAGTCCATAACTGTAAAGATTCCCCCTGTGCCTTGCCTTTTTCTACAGATGCTTTCGGAAAGCTTGAATAAAAAAAATTGTTTTATTTAAAAGAAAGATTCTGAGTTTAGATTAGGATGATTAGTGGCCTTTCAGCAGAAGCAGCAGCCTAACTGCACAGCAATTAGTGGGCGAAAAAGAACAGAAGAAGGACATGAATGGCCCTGGGATAAATTATGAATCAATGTTTTACAGACCCAAAATGGCATATATTTTTAGGTGTGCCACGAGGAGATTGTCTCCTACCTGACTGTAGAAGCTGGGTCAGTATGTCTGCTACCCGAGGAAGATTATCTCCAGTGGCAAATTGAGGCAATTCCTTGATTGCTTGTCGTCGAATCTGCCAAAATTGTCCGTATAGTAGAAATACAAAAATTTTAAGATGTCAAGAATTACATAAAAAACCACAAACAACTATTTTCACATATTTATGAAAAAAGTCATATATTTTTCTTAGACATAAGCAGCTCTGGAGAAAAATCAAATTCAAACAGTACCTTTGTTCACAAAATTATTCATATGATCAACAAAATAAAGCATGGAATATGTGTTATTACAGAGTTTTATTTGCTAACAGTTTTATTTGCTAATAGTTCCACAGTTGTGCATATGGCAGGAATAAATCCTACGGTTTACAGTTCCCAGCACTGACAAAAATCCTTGAATGATCTCTCTAAATTGTTTAAGACCAGATAAACAGAGATCTTCAAAGGTACAGCTTCTACCAATATCACAGAAGCAGTATGAAGCATCTCAAACTTCTGCAAGAATACAGTCAGAATCACATCCCCATGGTTCTCAGGTGCAAACAAGATTTTCTTGCCTCCCAGCAGGAGTTATCAGAACCAATTACCACTGAGTGCTTTTTGATAGGGAAACATGTAAATGCTATTCAAATAATCTGCAAATTTCTTTCTACAGAGCTATTCCTTTGATCAATGATGGGAGCGAAAAAGACAAATGAAAACTGATGCATCTTTCCAAAGTGAATTCTTTAACTGCAGGAATACAACTATGTTTAGTTGTCAAAAGACCAACTCTCCTCTCCCTAAAGACACAGCCTGATAAAAAAATGGAGAAAATTATAGCAAAATATAAATTCAATGTATCAACTTGTTACAAGGTTATTATTCTTACAGAAACATCTTCATCCTCGCAGAGGTCCAACTGGGCATTGATAGCTGAGTCAGCTAGCTCAGGAAAATGCTTGAAGAACTTAGGAATAAACTGAGCTGCAAGTCTCTTCTCCTTGGCACCTCCTTTCACACCATCCAAGATCACTTGGTATGCATCCTTATGCTGAAAGAGGAAAACCAGAGTATATAAATGGAAAAATCTTGGGTTATTCTCAAGACAACAGAAGACTTTTTCTCGCCCAATCTCTTCAACTGTTTAAGTGAACTATATTATACAAGCTTCTTACAAAGGAGTAGATTGTTCTCTCAGACTGATGTAACTGTGCCAATTTCATAAAATTTGCCTCTGTTGCCTGGCTTTTACTGTTATTCCAGTTTCTGTCTATTCAAGTGCTCACTGTTCCAACTGCTGGCCTTAAGGCTGACAGCTCTTACACATCACCTGTGATTAGATTAGTGCAAGAAATTATATGATCAGTCACTGAACTTGGGCAGTTTTTCAAGGAGTTTATGCCTTTTGTCTCCTCGCTTTTTGTCTCTTAAGTAGAGGTTACCTTTCCCAACAATTGTGCCACTGCAACGGATCACAAATGACTGTTAATGAACAATTGCTAATCAGAGATGCTACAGCATCTCTGACATCTAGTTAACTTATTCTGAGATGAAACACAGTGCTTGAAAGAACTGTTAACAGAAAATAGATACAAAAAATACCCCAGAAACCCCTGGCTGAAGCACAGAAATAAACACTTCAGCAACAGTAGAACATCCTCTAGCTGCTCCAACTAGAATCACTTAGGTGTTTCCGATTTTGTGCTGCAGGACTGAAACTTTAAAATAATTGAAGTCTTTGTTGTGGTTAGTTACGTGTTTGTGAAACAGAAGTCAGCATTATTAGCATACCAGCAGAAATCAGAATCTTCTAATTTTCCTCATGGTTGTGAACAGAATGCTTTAGACAGTTTATCCTACTTTGAACGGCAACATTGACAGCACAGGACATTTTCTTTGCTTTATTTACATTAAATTTTACAGAGCCACATATATCACCACCCCTATAATTCATGGAAGTTTTTCCATAGCAATTACAGATACTAATTTACAAAGCTGTACACTGCATTAATGCCCTTCAAAGCAAGCTGCATTTTAACACTTAGTGCCAATGTTCCTTAAGCACTCCCTTGAGCTAGTTGATAGCTCTCTGTGTTGACAGATTCTGAACTGGGATGGGATACAGATCTGCATGAAGAATAACCCATGAAAAAACCGGTTGCCTTTCAGCTGATCCACATCCCCATCCAGTTTACTCTGTAGCTGTGCCAACAGAGAGCACTCAACAGCAAAGACAGGAATATGCCAGCACAGACTAGCAATGAGCACATGTCATTACAGACACAGGTTCTCAGATTGTACATTAAGAACACTATTTTTGCAGAACACATTACTTAATACATATCAAAAAGCATTTATACAGCAATGCAAGAGAGTAGCCTGTGTTCCATGAATTTGTATTCCTGCATGCTAACTCCTCCTACCATTCAGGCAAAATACAGTTCAGGAAAGAGTTTGTTTTACCCTGTACCTAGCAGCATGGAATGCTCAAGAAAAACCACAGGTAACTATAGAAGCAGCATGATCCTTCAGTTTTGCACATTTCCTCCCAGTAACAGAGGAACATCTACACTGGAGAATGTCCAGACCTTCCTTTTTAGTAACTGTCAATTGCCCTATCATCCTTTAACTTCTCTAGGTTAGTTCCTGTATCAATTCATACCCTAAAATGCCCTGTGACAAGTTTCACAACGTGTTATTGAGAAATGTTCATCTTCCTCTTTAAGACTGCTTCCTAATAGCTTTTCTCAACTTCTCACCTTCATTTCACTCATAAAGTGGACTCATCATACCTAAGCCCCTTTCTCAACTGAAACACTCTTTTACAAGCTCAATACTTCCAGTCTTTTAAACAACTCCTCTTAATACTTCTGGTAGTCCCCATGCCCACGTTCAACATTTCTTTTTTTTTCACAGGGTGACTGTGACTTTTTGTAGTGAGATTTCACGTTCATATGGTTGTTGAAGAGATTATAAAGCAGTAAGTGGCATAAAATTGATGAACGAGGAAAAATTACTCATGGCTTCTCAGAATGCAAAAATTGGAGACATCAAATAAGATGAAATGACAAGTTCAAAGGAGGTAACTCCTTCACAAAGGTTCATGAAGTAATGGAACATTTTACCACACATTTATAGGCCAGAAATATAATCCGTTAAACAAAGCATCAGAAAAGTTCACTGAAGAACAATCTAGCAAGCTACACTCATTACAGAGATGCTGTCTCTGGCTCTGGAAGCCCACAAACTGGAGAAGGGTAAAGCTGGGAGAGCGCTTTAGGGATCATCATTCTGTACTTACCCTCGGAGGTTCTTACACATCTGCTCCCCTGTCAAAGGCTGCATTTCTTAATAATGCTGGAGTTTGTCTACTTAACATGGCCATTCCTACCTCATGAAAGCTACTCACAATAGCCAAAATGATGATGGACCACGTACTTGTAAAACAGCATAGTAACAGCACATTTTACTCTGCATCTCTCCCTGTAGTTCCCAACACTTTATTTGCACTTTGGTTTTGGTTCTGACGTTATGTTTTTGTTGGACTGTCTACCAGGATGTTTTGTTTCACTAGGGCATACTTACACAAGCAAAGTGAACGTTTTTGAACTAAACTGAAAAAAACTTCACCCTCCCCCAAAACAACCACCATATGATTTGTTCTCTCACAGAACTTTTCAAGTGACTATGTATAGTAGCATCTAGTTTAAAATCCATGGCTAGATATGTGCAAGGCTACTTTCCTACCTGTGAACATTATGACAAAAAAAAAAAAAAAGAAAAACACACGGAAAAAAAGTACCTGCTGCTTTTTCAGGTGGACATTTAGTAAAATAAGGGCCTAATGAAACTGCAAAAACTAGTGCTAACTAGCCATAATATTTTATATTGGTAATATACAAAGTCATCCTCTTTTTTTTGAATAATTCTGTAACTGTATAAACAAATGGTAGGCCTTGCCAGGATTTTACAGAAGATAAAATCTTCAGCCGTGAGGGTCGATCTTTCATTCTTGCCTTAAGGAAATAAAAAAAAAGGGCTACAGGCGGTTATCGACTCATGATAGACTTCACAGCAGACTCCACAACAAGCCTCTTAGGAAGACAGCCTGCCAGAGGCTTTCCAGATCTGCACTTGCGCTGGATCAGATCTTGCATAGCTACCGCTGTCTTCTTCTAAAGACCGAACTTCGCCAGGCGAAACTCCCCACCTGACTAGGTAAGAACTAGTTAACACCCGCGACGCCACACTTAAAAGGAGAGCCGCCAACACGACGCGAGTGCTGCAGAAGCACCGTGAGCTGGCGCCGTCCTTGCGGATCCGCAGGCGCGATGCTCACTCAGCTCCACCCGCCCCGTGCCGCCGCGGGTCATGAGCAAACCCACCCCGCGCACAGCCCCGCGGGCTTGCCGGCCATGCGGGGGTCTCGCAGTCCCTCCGGCGGCACTCTACCCCCCTCCCCCCCCCCCCCCCCGCCCCGGCCCGGACCCCCCCGCGGCGGCGCTACGCAAGCCCGAGGCCTAGCGAGGCCTTGCAGGCCGCAGTCACGCCGCACCTGGCCCGCCGTCTCGGTGGCGTCCGCCAGGATGCCGTAGTTGCGGTAGAGCTCCTCCACGGTGGGCATGGCGCGGCGGGGAAGGGGCAGAGCCGCCGTGACACCGAGCCCGCCGCTGACGCCGCCGCCGCTCCGGCCGCCGCTCCCGCTCAGGCCGCGCCGTCAGCACCAGCGAGGCGCCGGGCCCAGAGCGGCCGCGCCACGCCGCCCGTGCCGCGCCCCCGCACGGCGGGAGGTGGAACAGCAGGGCCCGGAACCCCTGCGCGCCCCCGCGCGGTGGCCGCTTCCAGCGGGGAGCGGCCCCGGATGACGCCCAAAGGCATCGCGCTCTCGCCGCCGCCTGGGCTGAGGGGCAGCTCACCGTCTGCTGGTTTTAACCGCCCGGCCCCAGTCCCGACCCGGGGCCTTGGTACGGGGTGCGTTCGTCTGCTCAGGAATGTGCCATGGCCTTTACCTTTTGCAGCCTTCCCCCCCCCCCCCCCCCCGGACTTTTCTTCACACTCCTCCTCCTTCTTTCCCTTATCGCTGCCTTCCACCAGCGCCCCTGTTTTTGTCTCTCGTATACAAATACGATGAAAGGTGCTCGAGAAGTGCCTGTTGCATGCTAAGTTCCTGGTACGGGAAAGAGACTGCTTTCCTGTGATTTGCCGACTTTCATCTTTTCCTGCAGAGAAAAATGCTATCTAACTCTGGCCTATAGAAGTGGAAGTACCTGTAAGTAGTGTCAATGGAGGCAGCACATGTACATTAGGCTCAAAGGACCAAATATAAAGTGTGGCAAAAGTTATAAGGCTGTAGCAGCGCCTTCTCCTCATATCTCAAGGTGCTTTATCATCCTGCAAGTTTCACAGGCACTTAAAATGGAGGAGGATTTCTCTTATGTCAATCTGAGGCCGAGCTAAGCAAAGTGGGGGACCTCTCTTAAATATCCTTCCCAGCAGGATGAAGGGTGCTGTCGGAGGCATTTGAAGCCCTAATCTGTTTCCAGAGTACGTGCAGGCAGACCACATACAGCAGGGATGTACAGCAGCATCAATCATTTACCTTCCTTCTGTTTTTCTTCTACTATCACAGTGTTTCAGCAAGTGGCAGCAGTGACAGCATCAGTCACCTTTCTCCCCCTGTTTGAATAGAGCTCCAGTGCCTTTACCTGTCCACAGGTGGATCCATGTCATTCTTGCAGGCTGTGATGAGGTCTGAGGGTGTGGAAGCTTGTGGCTTCTGTCAGATCCAAGAGAGCTTTAACCACATCCTGCCCCTTCCTGTGCTGGTGACCATCACATTTATCCAGAGTAATCTCAAAAGAATATGCTAATCTTAGTAGTGGGAACAAAATATAACATGAGAGAAAAAATATTTTTAATGCAACCTGGTGGCTATTTGGAGATGTCAATCTCTTGTCCTCCAGCATCTTCCAGACAGTATTACATCTGAATGCAGATTTTAAAACTATAATCATCTTTATCGGCACTACCATGGCAAACTTTTACAACTTGGTCTGAAAGGAAGAAAGAGGAACATCTCATTTAACTGTGTTTTACTCCCCCCCAAAGTGTTTATATAGATCGAGCTGCCTCATTATCTCCTTTTCTTGCTTTTTTTTCCTCAACAACATGTTATTGAACTGTGATTACGTTCTATAGCAAATATTGATAAATAAATAGCATTTATGCATTGTTGTATGCATGGCAGTTGTGGGAAGAAAAGTAGGCATGAATGAAGATGGGTGTGAGAGGAGTTGTGTACCTTCTTGGAAAGGCTGGCTCTGTATTCCATGGCAGAGCAGAAGGGGTGCTTGAGATACCTTGGAGTGATGGGAAATTAAGATGAACTCAAATGCTGGACTTTGGCTGCGCTACAGAGAGATTGTTGGGTGGGGTGGGATGGTAAGCAGTCTCAAATATACAATAATAACATATATTTTGTTATATCTAACTATTTTAATCACATTTTTGTATATTGTATCATAACATATATTATATGTCTTGGAATTATACTTTTTATCTTCTCTGGCAGTGAGACATTCAGCTGTACTCATCATCTTTCTAACAGAGAACACATAAAATGAAAGGGGTATTCAGACCCACATTAACAAAATGTTTTCTCTGAGGTTCATTCCATTTCTACCCTTTGATGTTAGTATTTTTTTCCCTCATGTACTTCCTTGTTACTTCACGTAATTCTTTTATTTTATTCCTTACAACAATGTCCATTTTTCCATCTCTAGTTTTCACTTATGACGTATTTTTTATAATGAACCTGTTTAAACTTAATCACAATTTTTCTTTAGCATATATATGGAAAGAACATGAATGAAGAACTGATGGTGTTACATATTAGGAGATATTGTTTGTCAGGGATGTCTCTGTTAATGTTGGGATATTTTTTAAAATGTATTTTTAGAAACTCAAAAGCTTGAAATGCGCATTTGAGAATGACACATAGTCATTCTCAATGACTGAGTCAACAGTCAGACTCTTCAGTGCAAGTCCCCTAGTTTTACAAAATATGATTAGTTTGACCATCACTCAAGATTTTCATCTCTTCTTTATTCCCAATCTTCTCATGCCCATACACATGGAGATAACCCTACAGTAAGTTACAGACTCATTTCATGATGAAGTGGTATCATACATTTGACTCCCATTCCTGTACACTGCCCATAAACCAAGTATCCTAGAATCATTGCAGGTTCTCCAGAAGAAAAATAATTTACTTATGAAATCAATAAGATTTTCTTTTTCCCTCAGAGGAAAAAAAATTAGTATTCCTGTCCCGCAACTGCCCTGGTCTTTGGTGGAGGACAGACTTCAGGCGAAGCCATAGATGGGGCAAAGCCATAGATGGGGCATAATGTCTATTATGACAGAAGGAGAAGACATGCTTAAAGAAGACTTCACACTGGAACAATGGTTTAATCACATGAATCCCCATGTACCCAACCTGAAAGGTTTCTGTGGGCCAGATACCCAGTGGATAATAAAGTGGCTGAAATAAGGTCCATTTTTTGGTTTGTGCTAGATGAGCAATTGATCCTGAATTCTTCTAATCTCACTTTTTAGAAATGGGCTTGAGTTTTAAACAGAGCATAGTTTTACAAATGAAGGGATATAGCAATTATTCCCCCACCCATCTTAAAGATTTGTAAAGTATTTTTCAGAAAATGGTGTCCAGGTATCACAAGGTAATATAGTGAGTGCATAACAGTGTTCACAGCTGTAAAGCCTTTTATTGGCACACATTAAAGACATCCTGCATGGTTGCAAGCATCTGACTGCTGTCTTCAGAGAGCAGAGATTTCCTACAGATTCCTTCTGATGTAATCGGATTTTCTCGCAGAATTTCTCCCCGCCAAGGCTATGCGCTTCTTTTCCCATGGGAACGGCAATCCCGTGGACGCGCATCCCAAGCGTACCAGCAAGCGGCGCTCTGGCCCCGCGGCCGCGGCCGCACTCCCCCGTCCGCACAGGAGCCGCTGCGAGTCCAGGGGGATGTGCTCCCGCAAACAGGACAGCACCAGGCCTTTGGGAAAGGATCGCTCTGCAGTATTCGGAGCCGTGACGCATGACTGTCTGAAAAAACCCCTTACACCTCGTTTGTTCCAAGTCATATCCACAAATTTAGCCGAAAAAAGAGATTAGAGAAATAAAGCGGAATTAGAGAAATAAAGAGGAAAAAGAGGAAGGAAGGAGTCTCATCATAGAGATAAGAGGGAGTCTGGCATCACAGAGCCAGGAAATTGTGTGGGGTCATAGAGAAAGACAGGAATCTGGCATCATAGAAGTAGTAGAATATGTAGAATCATAGAGGAGAAGGAAGGAGTCTTATCATCTATCCAAGAGGGAGTCTGGTATTTAAACAGCTCTAGGGAACACAAGCGAGCAGGAGTGCATCGAATGGAGTGATCCAACAGAATGTGATGTGTCAGAAGGACGCGGTGCAACCACGTGTGCAGCAGTTTGTGCAGGCAGATGAGTGGGAAGGACACTGGGGAGTGGGTCGACAGGCTGTTAGCTGAGCTGCTGGTCATACACTTGGTAAGAGAGTGCAGATATGGTGTCCACCCAGCACAGGGCCAAGTCCTCTACACTCATTAAAAAAGATGCAGTGATCCAGACAGTGGTCACAAAAAAAACCCATGCAAAACACGCAAAAAAAAATGTGTTGCCATCCAAGCTTCAGGCTGTAGGGAATGCCTAAATCTCTAAGTGGATTGTAGTGATGGCAGCTGCAAGAAATCAGTCAAGAAGACAAGAGACTGGCATGGCTGAGTAGGGAACTGCTGGTCAAACTAAAGGGCAAGAAACAAATGCATAGGCAGTGGAAACTAGGACAAATAACCTGGGAAGAGTGTAGAGTAGACGTACTACTGTATAGGGAGGGGGTGAGGAAGGCAAGGCAAAACTGGAGCTGCACCTGGTAAGGGACGCAAAGAATAACAGAAAGGGCTTCTATGGGTAACATTAATCAGAAAAAGAAGGTCAAAGAAGGTGTACCCTGTCTGATAAACAATGCTGGCAAAGAGCTAACAATGGATGAGGAGAAGGCTGAGGTATTTAATATTTTTGCTTCAGTCTTCAATGGCAACCTCTCTTCTCACACCTCTTGAGTGGATGGACAGCAGGATGGGAACTGGGAGAGCAAAGTCACTCCCACTGTAAGTGAAGATCAAGTTCATGACCACCTGATGAACTTGAATATACACAAGTCTATGGGACTTGGTGAGATGCATCCCAGAATCCTGACGGAATTGGCTGATATAGCTGCCAAGCCACTCTCCATGATATTCAAAAAGTCGTGGTAGTAAGGGGAACATTCAAGTTACTGAAGAAAGGGGAATAGTACTCATCTTTAAAGAGGGAAGAAAGAAAAACCCTGGGAACTACCAAACTGTCAGCCTTACCTCTGTACCTAGGAAGATCATGGAACAGATCCTCCTAGAAGCTCTGCTAAGGCACATGGAGCTGATTCAAGACAGACAGTACGGCTTCACTAAGAAAAATCCTGTCTGATCAACCTGCTGGCTTTCTATGATGGGGTAACTACACCAGTGGATGAGGGAAGAGCTACAGATGTAATATATGGAAAAGCCTTTGACACAGTCCCCCACAACATCCTTCTCTCCAAACTGGAGAGTGATGGATTCAACGGGTGGACTATTAAGTAGATTAGGAATTGGTTGGATAGTCATATCCAGA